TTTTTGATGCAGAGAATACATGGGAAAAAAACAAGAGAATATCAGTAAAGGTCAATTATGAGTCACTTAAAGGTTATTTCTGCATATCTCACCTCCTGGACAAAAGATGCTTCTTCATTACCATACAAGAATATAAATTAAGTTGCAAAAGTCTTTAAAATGCGACAAAGAGTTTAATTTTGTTGCTGTTATGAACAGCCTGAAGAACAAAGAGCGGGTCTCCTGCCCCTCTGCAGCCTCCACACATCATGCAGGACAGGGCAGTTACAAGGTGGTCCCACAACAGCCATAAACCCCTGTCCTTCCTGGTCCCCTTTGATGGGAAGCACAGAATGCAGGACAATATGGCAGGTCTGGCAAGTCCAGGTGTGGACATCAGGAGCCCCAACACGAGACCTCTTAGGTCACACTCTTCCCTTTCCTCTGCTCTTCCTGGGACAAGGGCAGCTCCTCACTGATCTGCCTCACAGTCTGTTAACCCCCAGTTGCAGGGCTGACAGGGGGCTCACACACACCGAGCAGCCTCCTCAACCCTGAGCATCCTCCCACCCCATAGCATGGCATCGAGAACAGTCAGAGCCTGCCCAAATACTGAATGTCATCTTGTCCAAAGCTGGCAGCAGGGGCAGACGTCCATATAATGGACCAGTTGTGGAATCAGCACCTCTGACATGCACCCCTCTGACATGTAGCAAAGCTGGAGACCAGTGACCAACCAGGCACAGTGCCTGCAGAGCCATCGGTGGGCTGGAGGAGCCAACCTTCAGCCTCTGTGCCAGGCCAGTCCCATCTGCAATAGAAACAAGGACCTCTTGCCTTTTGTCATCCAAGTTGGCCAGTGTCATCTTCTGCACTGACAGAGCTCTCCTGAGCCACCAGTTAAATACAGAGGAAAAATAGCTCTCCCAGAGCAAAAGCTTGCACAAGCAGCTCAGGCTGGATTTGTCATGGGAAGGATTTCCAAGGAATACTTGAAGACTATTAATGACCCTGGCCAGGCATCCTTATGGTTCCCAGCAACTCTGCCCTTAGGTCACATTACAACCAACAGGATGAGCCGTTAAAGGAATTCATTATTGGTGTCTCAACACCCCTGGACCACAGTGACTAAAAATCTATATGAATTACAGGCTCTTAAAACCATCTCTGCACTGTTTATCCTCTTCAGGGAAAATAAAGAGAAGAAAATACTGAAAGCAGCAAGATGAAAGTGTTGAGAGTCATGGAATCTTTAAAGTGTAAAGGGATGTGCCACATTTAACAGGGATTATGTCAAGCAGTATCCCAAGCCAGGAGAGCTGACAGCACACACACTGCCTTCGACGAAGGAGGACCCAGAGATGCTGGCAGAGCTTCCAGCAGCACAAGCAGAAACCCCAAATTTCAGCACTGTTCATGAGCACGGTTCATGGTCCTGGATCCCACAGAGTACAAGCCATGTGAGAGAGCAGGACCTTTAAAATATGCCTGGAAAGTCTAAACAAGGTCTCGAAAGGACTCTTACTTGTAACAAGTACAAGGGAGACAGACAGCACTTTTGGCACCGACCATGGCTCTGGGCAGTTGCCTTTTCACAACTTCCAGTTCCCATGACCTTCTCCTCCCCAGGGAGCCTGTGTCTCATTTCCCAAGGGCCAGGACATCCTGGCAGCAGCACACACCCCATGCAGCAGGACAGCTCCCACAGAGCACACCAGAGAGCCAGCTCGCAAGGTAACAGCCTAATGCAGTGAATTAATTCCAAAGGACAATTGTTTTCAATCTTCATTTAAACCCAACCTTAGCTAATCTCACTTTAACGACATAGGAAATAGAAATTCCCTTAATAATATAAGTCATGAATATTTATTACCCTATTTTTTACCTGAAAACTAAGTAATTCAATTAATTTTACTATTAATTATTTAATACAGAATTATTATACTGCAAGATCCTAACTCTTCTTTAAGATGCCACTGATAAAGATATCCCAGATAGAATATATTCCTTAAGCTGGACTGACAGACAGGTAAGGGACAGGCTGTGCTCCCTGGACAAAGGGCAGCAGGAGAGGAGGAGGAGAGGTTCCAGGGACCGAACTCATCCTGCTCTCACTGTGGAGTGAGCCCAATCCCCCCAGTAATCCTCCCGTGTCCTTTCCAAGACACGATGCAGGAAGGGGCAGGAACACATCTAAACTGCATTCCCAGGTAGAAAACCAACCTTGCAGCTTCTGGGCACAGCCAAGGCTTTTCTGTTGCCTGAGGTTCACTTGTGAAACACAGGTGAAGCCACCTTGGATTGCTAAAGTGTATTTTTAAAATACTGTATAAATGCTAACAACAGAAGGCACCTGGAAACAGAGAAACAAAGTACTTTCCTCCAGCAGAACGTTTCTGGACTCAGAAAGTCAACTTTGTCATTGAAATTCCAAAGTAAATAACAATTAAGTTCTACTTGATATACAAATGTCAAGTAATTATTTTTTGTTGTCATGATTCGCATTTAAACTTGGAAATGTCAGACACTTGGCCCTGCTGCATTAGCAGAACACTTCCCCCCGCCCCGCTGACGGAACACCAGCTGTGGAACACCCAGCAGATCATCAGGGAACCAAACACTGCTCTGAGGGAACGTCAAGGTCGGCGCTGCAAGGTGTACTCGCTAATTTATGCTGATCAACTGGAGTGCTCAAAAGACTGTTGTAATAATACTCCAGTACATTTATATCAGCATATTCGATCAATTTGAGTCATTCAACATGAAGTTTCCTAAAAAAGTAATTTTAGAGGCCTTTCAAAGCTTTCTCATAGCCCCTCCATTGCCACCACAATGGCATTATAAGAGGGCTCCTCCTCCATCTCCATGACCAAAGCAATACCCCACAGTGCTATAAACACGGGCACTTCCCTTTGGAAAAGAGGTGAAAACGTTCCAACGGCAGGTTTGGCTCCAAAGCAGCTCATCCCTTGTTGCCACCTCTGCCTTAGCTCAGTGACCTGTGGGGCATCACAGCCCAGCCTGGCCTGACCCTCTGCAGCAGCTCCTTCGCTGGAGGCTGAAGCAGAGGGCCCTGATCCCTCGTCACCAACACCCACCCTCCACTGGCAGCTCCAGCAGCACCAGCTCCTGCATCATCCTGCCATTCATCCAGCAGCAGCTCCTCAGAGCACACTATACATCATCATATCAGGAAACTCTGATGTGTCAGAGGTGCAATTAATTTTTATTAATTTTCTGAGATTAAATTAGTGCCACCCAGAGCAGCAAACAAAGAATGGGGAGTGTTCCAGTGCCGAATCGATGTCATTAATTCTGTAATACCGAGAGCCCTGATTGTAGCAACTCAGCATTTAACTCTTCCAATTAATTTTTATATTAAAAAGAAAAAAAAAAAAAGAAAACTAACTCAACAATTTCAGAAGGTCCTTGAACTTTCCTTCTCCTGGGACATTCTTTCTTTCTTTCTTTCAAGTGTAAACACACAGGAGGAAGGTACAGGAATGTTCATCAGAAAATTATTTTCATGCACTGCCTTTAGCAAACCAAACTCTTAAAATCATAAGATGCTGCTCCAAAAACATTTATAACCTTGTATGTTTAATGACACCATGTCAGCCAGACTAGTTAGTGTGTTTTCTGACCCCTTAACAGGCTTCTCTGGCAAAGGTTCAGCCAGAAATTGTTTTGCATTTATTCTGATACTGAGATTACCAGCCCAGAAAAAGACTTCTCTAATATTAACCAAATTACCTGCTTCCTGCAGTCAAGGAGAGCCTTGCAGCTACCACCAGCAGAAAGGTCCATCCAGGGCCCTTCTACTACCACGGCAGCTCCAGGTCTTCTAGAACCACTGAGAAAGCAATTGGGTTTCCCACACCCCTTTCCCAAGTGCTACATTTTAATACGACAAGCAAATACATTACTTAAGGATGTCACAAAAATATATAGAATAGTCTGGGGGGAAAAACCCCACAAAAACTAAAATGACACATTTTTTTTCCCATATTTCATGGAAAGCAGGTCCTCTGCGTGCCCCACCCGCAGCTGCACTGCAGAGGTGCAGAAAAGGCCTCCACGTCCATCCTCTCCTTGGCTGGGTGCTGTGGGACACCTGAAATCAATCTACTCGTTAGGGTGCCACCGCTCCTTGTGTCCCTTGTGACCTCTGCCCCTGCTCATGGCAGCAGGAGGTGATGCCAAACCTGGAGCATGCTGCTCTGGGTGCCTGCAGCAGCAGCCTCTGCAATGGATGGCACTAGGATACAGGATGCTAAAATAGACTTTCCTCTCACCTGGGTCCCAGCAGGCTCCCTCCAATGGCCCTGCCCTCTGCAACAGGAAAGGGGTGGTTTGGGAAAAAGACAAACAGGAAAAACCCAGCAACACCAGAAAGCAAGAGTCGTTCTCTGTGTTAGTGACGCACGGAGCTCGAACGCAGCTGAAACAGCAGGAAAACATCCACAGCCAAAACTCCATGTCTGGGTTACCAGGGGAGCAGGGAGTTAAACATTTATGGCAGCACAAGGAAGACATGACATGTACTGAATAATAAACTGCAAACACGTCTGTTAATGCAGCTTTTTGGGATCTCCTTACCATCAACCACTTAACCCCAGCACGGGAAACACCATAACTCAAACAATTCCTGTGCCTCCACGTGAGCAGGCAGCACACAGCAGGGCTGGCGCTTTTTTATTTATTTAAAGTTGTAGGCAAGGGAGCTCTGTCAAGATAAACAGCCTGTGACCTCGCTCAGAGGCTTCAGATCTGCTCATCTGAAGGGATACAATTAAATCCTGAGCAATTGGGTTAAAACTTTAACCTGCCAAGATTGCAGCTGTTCCATTTTTAATCAACCTGATTTCATTCAATAAAATGCTCATTAAGGCAATTAATGAGAGTTTGGTGTCACAAGCCATCAAGCATGACTGGGAGTTTCCACTTGGTGGTCAAGGCATTGATCAGCGAGTCAAGTCATCAGTGCGAGAGAGTCAATGTGCTGAGCAGGAGAACGTTACCTGGTTTTGGGGGAGGTTGTTAGCCACTCTTCATGCTTTTCAAACGTTATTAAATAAGCTGCAATTTCCTGAAAGAGAAACGCAGAAAGAAAACAGAGTTACTTGCATGGCTGTGCTGGGAACTGGAAAGTTTTATAACAGAGACACAGAGTCACCCACCCCGGGCCAGGCTGCAGCTGAAATCGGGTTTTGACTGACACAGCGTGCTCAGTCAACGTTCACATCCATGCCACCAAGGCCAGGCTTAAACAGGGTAATGAAGAGATGTAAATGAGGAAAGGCATTAACATTTTCCAGAGCAGAGAACTTGCTGGTAACTGTGGTGACCACAGCGTCGCCGCGAGCCTGCCGTGACGTCAGGAGGCAAAGGGGAGGGTAGTGACAAAACGGACACGGGAAGCTAAATTAAATATTTAAAAATAGAACAGCATCACTGCAGAGAGAATTACTGAATTATTAATCATTGCCATAAAAAGCCAGCGGGTGACATCAACATAAGTCATCGCTCCCACTTGCAGGAATGATACGGGCGATTACTTCCAGATCAGAACCGATTTGTTTGCAGGAAATTATTGGTGCTGGAGAGATAATTCACGACAGTGCCCGTAAACAGGCCTGAGGAAAGCGGGACGGCCACTCATTCATCTCCTGGGCACAAAAGCGGGGCGGTCACGGGGCAGCCACGGAGCAGGACAGGCCCAGCACCGGCAGCAGCCCTGGGAGACCAGGAGAGCTGTGCCAGGGAGATGCAGGACAAGTGACTGTCCCTCACCACGACAGCCACTGTCACCACACCAGCAACACCCCGACATACAGAGATGGCCACGGACCCCTAGGGCTGTGCTGAAAATAAGCCCCCCCCATATACTCAGAAAAATGTAGGTTTTTGATGGTTCTCTTCCAAAAATTGCCTCCCAGTCCTCTAAGAGGGACCTACGCAACAAAAGTGAGGTCAGTGAAGCTGCCTTCAATGTTCAAATGCCTCAAATCAGACCCCCAAAACACATGCAGTGTCATCTCTAGAGCTACTGCAGCGGAAGAGTCCCCAGGCTGCACATCCTGAGGGCAGCACACATGCCAGCACCAGGGCTTTCACCCAGGAATGGAGTTTTTATTATTTTTTTAGTTCGCTCTATATAAGGGTTGTCGCTTACAGTACCAAAGCTAAAAACCCCCACAATGCTCTCCAACCAGCTGGCCCAAGCATCTGCTAGAGCCACAAAATGCAATTATATTACTCCCAAACGAGACGTAAAAATATCTTGTTTCCAATACTCTTGGTTTTAAGACTCATACTTAATGTCCTCTGGGCATTGTGGCAGTGCCAGATCTCCGTGTTATGTACTTTATTAGAGCTGTGTGAATGTCATATTAATGACTCCTGACCAACATGTTTACACTGCAAATAAATTCTAACAGAATCCAGCGCTGCACCCCTTGTTTCCCAAGCCCCTCTCTGCAGGTATAAAGGATCCCCAGAGAAGCAGCTGATGAAGCAGTGACACAAAGCTCCAGAAACTCCTCTTTTTAATTTCTGGGTAATTGCTGCATAAAATTCAATATCTAAGTAACCCCATGCAGACCTCCACCATCGACACTCACGACCTTCCCAGAGAACACACCAAGCCTCATACTTTCACAGCAGCTGCAGCTGAATCAGGTGCAAGTGATGAAATGCAGATGCTGCATGGCCAAAAAGGGCTCACCGAAGATTCCCAGCAAGCTAAAAACACCAAAGAACTCTGCAACTAAAATTATTCAGAGGATATGAAACAAGATCTCTGGATTTTTTTAAAGCCAGTGCAGTAATTCCACTGAATGTGCTGTGATCAGCAGAACTCTATTTCCAACACGTCCCACGTTATGTCCTCAGCTCAGCTCCCTATGTTACAATCCAGCGTCACCTTGTGCTGTACAGCAAGATGAGCTCTGGAGAGACCAAGGAATGCAGGGGAGCTCCCTGCACATCCTCTCCAGCACTAAGCCAGCAGGCCTCTAAAGAAATAAACCCCTTCAACGCCAGGGCAGTTTGGGGGGGGTCAGATTAGCACAGCATTTTGCCTATTCCTACTAAAAATCAATTGCCATAAGGAGAATGAAGCCATTTTTAACTTTTGTGACTGAACAAACACATTGCTATGGCATGGAAACACAAAGTATTTCAGGTAAAGGAACTCAGCTAAAGGAACCACAGCTTGTTAACTCTGCTCCTTCCCGCCGGCCCGTGCCTGGCACATGTGAAATCCTCATCCCAAACTGTCACCAATGAGAGGAGCTGCAGTAATGACATACTCCTATGTGAAGCAGAACATGGGTTTCCATGCTGCTGGTCTGGCCCACTCAGCACGTTTGGGCAGAGGAAAGACCGAGTTGCCATTTGGTGCTGCAGATATTTATTTGGTGCTGCAGATATTTGGTGCTGCAGACCCACCAGAATGCGCACGTGTCACCAGGATGTCCAGGCAGCTCCTGCCCTGGCTGTGGTACTATGGAGAGCTGCAGCTCCAACCAGACTACAAAGCTGACACCTCTAGATGTACAATTCAATTCTTCCAACAGGATAAAAGAAAAATTCACATCAACTAGGATAGGAGCTCCCCCAGGCTTTCTGCTTAATGATATATTACAGCCTGATTTCCCTCCTCCAGGGGAAATACCTTGGATGGCAAAGAAAATCTTGCTCATGGTAGTGCCATAAATTAACACATACAGCAGAGAGACAGCAAGGCCTCCAAGCTGCCTTCTGTGTCCCAAGAACTCAGAATTACAAGGAGGGCAAAATCCCCTCAAAGATCCCCACATCGTTGACTCACCCTGCCCATGCCTGTCTGCAACCCCGTCACCCAGAGCTCCCCGTCCTGCACTGGGATATCTTGGCCTGAGTGCTGAGGAGCAGCTGCTGTGCTTGGCTGTGCTGTGACTCCTCGATCCAGTGTGCACAGCCACCAGCACGGGGGAGCCTGAACACAGTCTGGTGTCAGCAGAGGCTCTACCACAGCAGCCAAGCGCTGTCCCATCGTACCAGCCCACCCCACACAGGGGGGACATGAGCAGAAACACCTGTGTACAGTGACACCCACGTGTCCACTTCTGTCACCAGCACCCAGAACAATCTCTCCTCTGCCACCTCCGACTGGAGCAGAACTGCAAGGAACAGATGACTCGGGGACGTGGTGAACACCTGCACATGTACACAAAGCCAGGCAAAAAGGGGGATTCCCAGGGAAAGGCACACCCTGGGCTCTGGGGTGAGCCCTATGCTGGTGCTACTAGTGAAATGCTGGGATTCCAAGGAAAACAGATGGGAGACCTTTATGAGGAGAGCCCCATGAAGAGGTGATTGGCAGCAAGAGATACCTGGGATGGGGAAAGCCTGTCCCAGGATGGGATGCAAGGGACCAGGGCTGGAGCACCTGCTGAGGAAGGAGGACGTGCTTCTCTGCTGCCAGAGACCAAACTTCTCTTAAGCCCCGCTTGTTACATATTCTGGTTTCTGTAACTACAACTTTGTTTCCTGTGCAGAGGAAAGTGCTCAGCCCAGTGCTGGTGGGTGATCAGAGGTTTGCAAGAGACACCTCTGTCCAGTGGGTCCCGGTCACTGCAGCAGGGCAGAGCTCAACAGCTGCCTGGGGCAAGCACCCCCTGTTACACCAACAACCTTTTTTCCTTTGAAAAAAGGGGGAAGAAATAGATTTATCACTAGAAGACACAAAGTCATTAAATAATTAAAAACAAAACTATGGGCACAATAAAAGCCCTCTGATAAAACCTTGCATTTTAATGCACGTTAATTCCCTTAATGATTCTTTCTGTGTCTTACAGGGTCAAATCAATGTCCTCACCAAAAAATCCAATTACATCCCATTCATCGTATCTTTGGAGTGAGGCTATTGTTTGCTTTTGTCTCCTATCAAACCCTTTTCCCATTGCTTCTTGCCCGAGATTACAAACAAAAGGCAGCATGGCACCAGCAAGGTCAGATGAGACAGAGTTGGCTCTGAAAGCCCAGCTGGTCCCAGTCCCTCTGTGACTGCACAGCGAGCGACGCAAATCAAGGGACAGGAGCACTTGCCACAAACACTCGACTCATTGCCAGCGAGTCCCCCCCAGCACCGGTGAGGGCAGGTGGCACTGGGTGGAACCCCAAGGCCACTCAAGAGCATCTTCATGGGCAAGGGCACTGTGCACCATGGGCAGCAGCCCCCGGGCCAGGATGTCCCACCTGGCCCCACACCCCCTCTATCCCAGCTTTGGAATTAATGTCAGTATAAACTGAGGGAGCATTTCTGGGAAAGGGTGAACCACTGAGAGCTATGCAGACCCAGATCTGCTTCCGAGCACGCCAGGCACAGGACTGAGCCCAATATTCCCAGGACACTGGTGAGGAGAACAGGTTTGACTGACCAGTTCAGGTCAATCAAAGCAATGAGATAATTTAACACTCAAATCACAAATAATGTTTTATCCTAAATTCAGATAATTCAGTGGTTCAATCTGGACTTTGTCACTCAGGCTGAAAGCATTTTATCTAAGTGCACATCTATTTTCATTTTGCATTTCCGTTTGTTTAGATTATTAGTCCGAACATGCCAAGGAGCCACGGGCTGGGAAGCCCACTGAGCTGTGTGAGACAGCGCACACACAGCTCCAGTGGCTCCAGACAACTGCCACCGAGGATGTTCTCCCTGTCCCCCAGCCCTGTGCCAGCACCGTTCGGCCTCGCGTGGTCAGAGCGGTGCAATGAGCTGTTGGCATCACTGGCTTGGGCACCGTGCTGGGGCAGGGCTGGAGGTGGCAGTGGCAGAGTCAGCACACGCTCCCCAACCCGACACTACGTGACTGCAGCTCCTCAGACGCTTCAATATTTAATGACGGCACGTAACAGCCCGAGCTGCAGCACACGGGCGACCTGATCTCACCCGCCGTGTCCTGGGGGGAGGATGAGCCGGCGGGACCAGGAGCAGCAGGGCAGGTGCAGCTCCCATGGAGCGCTCAGCACTGGGTGATGTCCAGCAGCTGCTGCAGAGCTGCTTGTCTCTGTGCACGGGAGCTGGAGAGGACATTGCTG